TTCCAAAATTATTTATTTGTCTCTTTATTTATATGATTACAATTACCCTTTCATTTTAACCCTAATTAGTATTTCTTAAATAGTTTCATTGGTCTCTTTCTAACGAAACACATATCTGGCTATGGAACAACGAAAGAATCAGAAATTGATGGTCATCTTCACCAACAACTTCAGGTAAACATAAGTCTGTTCCTCCCCCGATCGATTTCAGTAAACCCTCCGAATCTAACACTCAACTACTTCATCATCGATCATCATCAAGGTTAGTTTCAACTTGTAAAATCTCTTTTCCTTCTCTTATCGGTTCTTTATTCTCTCAATTTTGCTTGATTGCATCATTTTGATTCAGTGTTGTTCGTTAGTGATAGGTCTTTGTTCATTTTAGGGCTGGTAAATCTGATTCGATCAATTTCATAATGTTTGCTGATTTATTGGAGACTTTAGCATTAATATTACATTTATTTGTCGATAAATCCACTTTTATTTCTTCTTGGTTTGTAACAGTTTTTGTTTGACTATTTTCGGGTAATTTTGTTGATTTGGTATTGATTCTAAGTGCATATATCATTAAAAAGGTCATGTTTATATACAACCTAACTGTTGTATTAGTTTAGTGCAGTAACTTGTGAGATACCAAATACTATTAGGTTTCATGAATTAATGCTCTTATGGAGAATGTAACAAATGGACAAGAGAATGATTAGGAACATGCTGATTTTATAGAGATTATGTGATAAGTTTCTAAAAATTATTTTGTGGAAGAAATAAATGGATAGACTAAAGTTCGGAACCATGGTACTTTGAGAAGCATGCATAATACATTTACAGCAAATCCTTTTATCTCAAAGCAGTGAGATGGACTAAAATTAGAAATCATAACAAATGCAACCTATGGAAAATCTCTTGACTATATCTTTTTGTTAGTTTTGACTACTAAAATTAGTGATATATTTTTCATTGTCCTTTTGCCAGGTACACTTGCTTGTATTGTTGAAGATCAATTACCATTTACTGACCTCCTAAACCCTAAACCAGTTCTATCCGCTAATGAAATTTTCATGTTGACACACACATTTTCTTTTAAAACTCCACTATAAACTTCAAAAAATTCAAACTTTGTTTTGATTTATTTAACAGAGTGTTTTTTTAATCTTTGTAAATCAGTCTTGGTGTTTTTTGTTTAAAGTAGATAAAATTATTTACACTTATAGTAATGCAATTTGAAATTAATCCCATTTACATCATATTACTTTCAGAACTAATACATTATGTGTCATTGTTTTTTGTTAGGTGTTATTTTGATATGTTTTTTAATGTCATGAGTGTGTTAATGTAGGTAAATGTGACTATATATGTGATACTTTATTTTTTTTCCAACATGGACCAATTCTAAAATTATTAATTGATGTCAACAATTAAAGTACTTTAACGTTTGAAGTACTTAACTTATGTTGCTTTCCTTAAATATCATATGACTACCTGTATTTAGTATTCAGGTAACTCATTTACAACAAAGTGAATTTTCTGAGTTTGTTTTAGGATTATTTTGCAGCATTTGGACCATTTTGCCCCTGATATCTGCTCATCAGTTTTTACTTCTATTTTGATATGGGTGATAAATTATCTATTTGATTGGAAAATAAGTGAAGATCATGCCTAAGTATAGGATAGTATGTAGTTGAAAGATGGCAGTCAATTTTGGGAAGCCACTGATGGATGTTTTCACTTTTATTAGTAAAAAAACATGAAGAATGAGATTCAATCCAATGTTTTAGTAAATTTAATGAATGCTTATATGTAAATATTGTACTTTTATACCATCAAAGTAAACAAGGTTACATTTCAATTTGAATATTTTTGTTAATTTTTTTAAACAAGTACCATTTTTTTTGTTTTTTTTATACAAGGACCATTTACGTTAATTTTTTAAATAGGGATCATTTATGTTAATAGATTTTTTTTGGTTTTTTTTTCACCTGTATCGTGTGTATTGCATGAAAAGGTAACATACTTTGATTTTATTGTTTGGTTTTCTTTCACTTGTATGGTTTTTTTTTTTCGTGAGAACAATGTACTTTTTTTTGGGTTTCATGTCACCTGGTATGATTTTGTATGTGAAAGGGAAATGTACTTTGATTAATTTTGTAAGTGATAGTGACATACTATCTAAATTTACATAAATGGAAACTGAAATTTACCATTTTATTAAATTTATATGTATAATTTAGCATCCTACTTCCTAATTATGTCATATTATGTGTAAGTTTGCTTCAAATCGAAAGTAGGTTGCTATAAATTTACTAATTTTCAAAGTCACAATGGCATACTATATAATTTTACACAATTACCCTTTTATTTACAATAAACTAGATTATAACAACCTAGTTTCATTTAGTTTGCAGCCTACTTTTCTTTAATTTAACCTCATAACATCATTCCGTTTAAGCATTTATTTTGATTATCTTACTATCAAAGTTGCATGTTACAAGTATGACTAGGATAATGATTAAAGCTAAAAGAGTAATCTTGGTTGAAATAATTAACTTTTGAATTATAAGTTGATATAACTTTTATTAGTTTGATTTACGTTAAGAAGGATCCTTTTTTATTCATTATGCTTTATGTTTTACTGTAAATCGAGAATAGATTTATAACCTTAATAATATATCTTTTTTAAAAAGAAAAAACATTATTATTAATAAACAAAATAAGAGCAAAGAACCAGAATTAAAGTAATGATAGAAGGTAAATGAATTACTAAATATATCCTTATGATATCTAACTTTACATGAATTAAAGTAATTACAAATTACAAAGTTATTAAAAAACACAATATTACAATTCATAAGTTTTCTAAATTAATGCTATATTATTTTATTATATAATAGTAATAGTAATAGTAATAATAATAATAATAATAATAATAATAATAATAATAATAATAAATTAGGAACCAAATACACTCATTATCCAAACTATAGGGATGATTCGTGTAATTTACCGTAATACATCCCCTAATAATAATAACGCGTTTCTTTTTCCCTAAAAAAAACGCTCCGCAGACCGCAGCTTCATCCTTGTGCTGCTTCATCGCCGACGAAGGATCCGTCGAAACTGCTCATCGCCGGCGCTGTTCAGTTTTTCTGTTTTTTCGGAAATTTGCTTGCTCTCCATCGCTTTTCGTTTGTTTCATTCAATCGCTTTCTTCTTCCCTCCCACTACCTTGATTTTCGATTGGTGATGTCCAAGAACAGAGCATCTAATTTCATTTGGTTGCGTTCGGTGATTTCAATTCGGTTTGTGGTGTTGCTAAACAGGGTATCTAGTTTCGTTCAAGAAGAAGGTAATTAGAAGTTTATTCTTTGTTCATGTCGTTCTGTCGTTGATTTATAAGCTTTTGTTTGTATGAATTGTAATTTTGATAGGTCTTTGCTATTGATCAATTAAGCACAACAATAAACAATTAAACATATTCCCTATTTCCATAATTCCAAGTAACAGTGTTTTCTTCAATGCTTTTTCTCTTTCAGAATTCATTTCATATGATGTTTCGATTCATCTTAACTGAACGTTCTTTCTTCCCTTGACAAGTTTTGATTTATTATAGATACGGTCAATCTGATTTCATTTTTCACGTTTCTATTGTTGATCGAATTAACATTCAAACTCGATAAGATTTCAGCAAACCATATCTGATTAAGCTCGCCTTCCACTTGTTCTGAGGTGCTAGTATTCGATTATCAAACCTCTGCATAACTCTATTATCAAACCTCTTCATATTCAATTATCAAACCTGTGTAGGTGTTCGATAAAATGGGACACTACAGCTGATCCTGGGTAAAATTTGCTACTCTCATCAGTGCCAATCAAACACTATTTTTCCTTCCCGCCATGTGTTCGATAAAATGCCTAAATGAAATTCTCAAGTGCTGCCCACAATGATATTGGAAAATTCGATAAGACGGTTTTTATATTAGCACTTCTACTTGTTCTTAATGGAATTGTAAGCAGTTCTACTTGTTCTGTATCTGCTTTGTTCAAACTCTTTTTGGTTCTGAATTGCCTATAAATCTTGAATGCTTCTTCTGTTATTAATCTGAAATGCATATGAATCTGTGTAATTTTTTTTATGTGTTTAAAAGAAAGCATGTGCATTAAGAATCCGGAATGCTTCTTTGTCAACTCCCTAATACAATGATGTTAAATCATATAGAAAGTACTAAATTACAACTCATATTTCAGGCTTGTAGTTCAAGAAAACTCAGCACACATTATAAAACTAAAATTAGTAGCAAATCATAAAATCCCAATAATAGTACTTAACATTGTAATGTCTATAAATTTGGTTGTTTTTGCAAAATTAGTTGAAAATGAAAGAGATCTTGGCTGTTTGTAATCATTACGAATTATGATCTTCTTTTTAAAAATGAAAAAATGATTCTTTATTGAAAAAAAAATGAATTTTTGATAGCTAAGAAAATTTGTTCTTCTCTTGTGACACCATTTAGGCAACTAACAATGCTTCCATTAAAAGATATCACACCAGCAGCAAGAAACAACATCAACACACAGTTCATAATTTTGGAAAAAGGGAAGATAACATTAGAAGGAGGACAAAACAAGACATGTATGGGATTAGTTGCAGATGAAACTGCATCTGTTCACTTTCAATTATGGAATGAAGAGTGTGATGCGTTTGAGGCAGGAGACATTATTCGTTTGTCAAATGGGATATTTTCTTACCAACGTGGCAATAATCTTGTTTTGAGGGCAGGGAAAAGAGGGAAGGTGGAAAAAGTGGGAGAGTTTACAATGGCGTTTGTTGAGTCACCAAATATGAGTGAGATTTTGTGGGCCCCGGATCCGAATAATTCGGGGAAATACGTACGAGAGTCTGTAATTTCGACCCATTCGCGTATTTTCCCACCAACCGTTTAGATTGTGTTTCTTTAGAATAGGTTGGATTGTATTCTACTGGACAAGTTTTGTAGGACTATTTTTTGATGATAAAAAAGAAGAAGGGTATTTACGTCTTTTGTATCAGAAATTGAGAGTGTCTCTGGTTCACTAGGTTACAACCCGTGGAAACCACGGGTCAAAAATTGGAAAACATATTTATCTTTACTACTTATAAAAGAAATCTAACTATTTCTATAAATAGATTGAATATAATAATATTATTTTTTTAAGACGTACAAACGATTAAGCTAATATTACAAACAACCATTAATAAAATAATATTAAATTTTAAATTTGTTTTGATTCCTTATATTTCTCAGCAAAATCCTAATTTCATGGTCATTCAAAATTTAAAACCTTTTCATCCTAATACGCTTCAACAAATATCCTTTAAATGTTGCATTTGCAGCTGATTAAAATATCTCATAGCAGACGTGTGTTTGTTCTCTCCACCTTATAAACCCTGCTATAAATCCCACTGCCATGAAGTATTTCCCTTATAAACCCTAATCGTTTTTCTCCCTCTCTTAGACGAAGACAATGTGTTTTTTTTAAGAAAAAAAGTTTGAAAATATTCCAATTTCTCAAAAAAATTTACCCTAAATGCAAAACTGGGTAAAATTTTCCATTTTGCGAAGACTACAGGGATGCGAAATGAAAATTCTGCACTTTTGTCTTTTTATGACCCCATTTTGCGAAGTTGGACCACTTATATTATTTCTTGAAAAGATCAGGTGCCAAATGCGAAACTCTAAGCTTTCTTCCCCAATTCGCATTTATACATTTAAAACTTCGCATTTTCATTCAAATTCTTCGCATCTTGCATCCATCCGTCTTTGAGTTCATTCGCATTTCATCGCATTAACTGAGAAATTAATCAGTTGTCTCATATTCGCATTTCAGTTGTTTGAGAAACCCAGATACGAACCCAAATGCGAAACCCACTGATTTCAAATGCGAACCAACCAAAAATCATCAACCACGTACTTGTGTCACCAAATGCGAACTGAATATCACCATTAAATTCTCCTCGCATTCTATAGATGCGAACACAATCCAGATCTCCGACTCCAAGCTTGCGAAATCAAAATCAATTAACGTCAACAAATCGTGAACTTCTTATGCGAACTGTTTTGACCCACAAAACCAAATGCGAACTCAATTGATGTCATATGCGAACTGATTTCATAGATGCGAACACAATTGATTTCATATGCGAATCCACATCCATCGATATGAAACCAATACCAGTTACAAGCAATTAGTAGCAACCATCGATCCTCTAATTTTCAATTACTCAGCCTTCGCTTTTCATACAACCCGTCGACCCTGAAAAATCGATAAACACCAAATGTCTCATTTTTAGATCGATTTTCTGATTAAATGTCATATTTGAAGAATGATCGATTTTCTGATTAAATGACCCCATTTTGCGAAGTTGGACCACTTATATTATTTCTTGAAAAGATCAGGGGCCAAATGCGAAACTCTTAGCTTTCTTCCCCAATTCGCATTTATACATTAAAAACTTCGCATTTTCATTCAAGTTCTTCGCATCTTGCATCCATCCGTCTTTGAGTTCATTCGCATTTCATCGCATTAACTGAGAAATTAATCAGTTGTCTCATATTCGCATTTCAGTTGTTTGAGAAACCCAGATACGAACCCAAATGCGAAACCAACTGATTTCAAATGCGAACCAACCAAAAATCATCAACCACGTACTTGTGTCACCAAATGCGAACTGAATATCACCATTAAATTCTCCTCGCATTCTATAGATGCGAACACAATCCAGATCTCCGACTCCAAGCTTGCGAAATCAAAATCAATTAACCTCAAACAACAAATCGTGAACTTCTTATGCGAACTGTTTTGACCCACAAAACCAAATGCGAACTCAATTGATGTCATATGCGAACTGATTTCATAGATGCGAACACAATTGATTTCATATGCGAACTGTTTTTTTTTTTTTTTTGTTAATTCTCATGTGTCTTTCTTTAACATTCGTAATTGGTTTGGTGGGTTCACGTTATGTGGTTATATTTTGGTTTTCGATTTTGTTTTCGGGTTAAGTATTTTGTTAATTAATTTATTAGGAAACTATGATTTCATTTAAGATTAAAAACTTTCTTCCGTCTTTGAGTTCATTCGCATTTATACATTAAAAACTTCGCATTTTCATTCAAGTTCTTCGCATCTTGCATCCATCCGTCTTTGAGTTCATTCGCATTTCATCGCATTAACTGAGAAATTAATCAGTTGTCTCATATTCGCATTTCAGTTGTTTGAGAAACCCATATACGAACCCAAATGCGAAACCAACTGATTTCAAATGCGAACCAACCAAAAATCATCAACCACGTACTTGTGTCACCAAATGCGAACTGAATATCACCATTAAATTCTCCTCGCATTCTATAGATGCGAACACAATCCAGATCTCCGACTCCAAGCTTGCGAAATCAAAATCAATTAACCTCAAACAACAAATCGTGAACTTCTTATGCGAACTGTTTTGACCCACAAAACCAAATGCGAACTCAATTGATGTCATATGCGAACTGATTTCATAGATGCGAACACAATTGATTTCATATGCGAATCCACATCCATCGATATTCACCTCTATCCTTTCTCGATCAACTACCTCATCGTTTTTCAGTAATAAGTGTTTATCCCCATGAAACTGCATCCACTTCCAACTGGATTAACCTATATTCATACTAAAATTTTAAAAAATAAATAAATGCTAAAAAACCAAATAGGTTACTAAAATAAAAATAAAAAATTCATACCCATAATTAAAGCTATATGCTACTTCATCGTTTTTCAGTGATAACTGGTTTTCGTCCATCAAACTGTATCCACTTCCAACTCTGATTAAATTATTAGACCTGTATTAAAAAACAAGGAAAAAGTAAGAGAATTTTATACGTTTTTTCATGCAATTCCTATTTATTTTTTTTTAAGAATCTACAAAAATAATAATTAAAATTGAATTACATGTAAAACCAATTCAAAACAAAAAATCTTATTTTGTTTCCCGGGATAATTTTGAATACTTTTCAACTAATAAGATAAAAGTAAATCAAAATGGATTACGAATTTTCAAATTTTATTATAAATATACACATAAGTATGAACTATATGTAATCCTTTCATAACAAACTTTTAACCTATATATATATATATATATATATATATATATATATATATATATATATATATATATATATATATATATATAGAGAGAGAGAGAGAGAGAGAGATATTTGCGTAGTAGATGAACCATAGGCGCCAATTGCAAACATATTCTATAATTATAATTTAACATATAAGAAGGCTTCATCGGTTCTACAGTCTGCTACTGCGTATGTTTACTATTTACGATTTTTACTTTCTCGATTATACACCATTCACACTCACTTTGTGTTCCTTTGTACATGCATAAACTACATATATTCTATCGGCTTCACAAAAACCATCTGCTCTATCGGATTCATCAAAATCAAACAGGTATGTGTATTTAACTTTAAATTATCTCTTATTCAAGTACTATATGATGAAAAAGTCTACTATTTATAGTATTTTTTTAGTTAGATGCAACGTGTTTCAAAGTAATTAGCTTCACCTAAGAAAAGAAGTATCATCAAACCAATATATGTCGGCAACTCAAGCATCATCTCCTTATAGACCATTCACATTACCAGAAACACATAAATAAAATCTGGTTTTGATCTAAACTATTATAACAAAAACAAATGGTAATAAATTTCGTATTTGAATAATCATACTTTTTGATTTGTTATGTATAAAATAAAGTATACATTTTTTTGTGTGTTTTACAGTTTGCAATGAGGTTTGACGGTAAAGAAAATAAACATAATAATGTTATCCAAATTGATGCAGAAAATACAAAAGGTATATCACATATTTACAATCATTATTAGTATATCATCGTTATACATTTTTCATTTAAAAAAATGTTGCAGAAAAACGAAAAGCATATAATAAGGCATGTTACGAACGACGAAAGGAGAAAAACAAAATGAGACGAATAGTTAATGGGGAAGGAAATAGTCAAAACACAACATTTTTGTCAAATGTGCCAACAGTAAATAGGAATCTGGTGGATATTACCAATGCATCTCCTACATGTGTAATGGATTTTGGTCAAAAAAAGTTGATTTATAATAGAAACCCTTATCAACGTCAGACGGAACCAACCATAACAAAACCAGGTAACTATGTCTGAAGTTATCATATTACAATCTAAGTAGTACAACATTACATTTAACCATAATCTTTCATAATTTACATTCTTAATGAGAAATTTTTGTTTATACGTAGGTATTCAAAGTCAGCCTGACGTAATACTACCTCCACGCGATGAATTGATAACTCAAATTTCAACATCAATAGGTCAGTATTTGATTTTTACCGAAAAATATCATATATATTGGCTAATAATTATGTGTAATTATTTTAATTTTATTTATATTACATTTAACTAATGAATAAAATGTCTACAGATCCACAAGGTTGTATCCATGGCAATGTCACTCCATCAGTACAAAATGGTAGCATCTCGGATGATCCATATAGTTTTGTTTTCGCCGGTATCCGTAAAAAACATCGTGTGGTGAAGTTCAATGATATATGTACTTATTGTGGGGCAAAACGACTACAATTTGAATCTGCTGGCTTTTGTTGCATGAGTGGAAAGACAAAGTTGGCAGACTCATCTATTCCTGACGAATTACACAATCTTTTCACCTCAGAAACAAAATTAGGCAAATTGTTTAGAAAGAATATACGTGCATACAACACCAACTATTCATTTGCATCAATGGGCGTAGAAGTGGATGAATCGATGGCCAATATGACATCTGGGGTATACACTTTTTGTGTGAATGGAGGGATATACCATAGAATCGATCAGTTAGTTCCAAGGAAAAAGGATGAACCTAAGTTCTTACAATTGTATTTTTACGATGTTGAAGCTGAGATGTCAAATAGACTCGAATGGAAGAATCTTGCTAAACCAATTGTTGAAAT